TCCCTTTCAAAGTAAAAAACACTTAGTAGTTCCCTGATAAGTTCCCTTATAAATATAACTGCCCTTTTACTTTTACATGGAGAAGAGTTCAAATGTGACCTATTTAGTCACTAAACTGTTCGCGTTTAAAGTTACACAGAAAAGAACAAGTGATTTTATTTATACAGTTCTATACTCCAGTTGTATAAACAGATAATATCCAGGAGACCTTGAAGATATTTTCCTTGCCTTTGAAAAGATGTTTTTGAGTTCCTATTACCCCCCATGGCATTTCATCCTTCCAACTGGGAAGGACTGTTAATCACAGTCAATTGAGACACCTTCAGGCAGGGAGACCAACACATCTAGTGTGCCCAGGCCTTACCCAGTCACAGCAGGGAGAGTCCTCCATCCTGAGAAACTCCTCAGTCCCAGAAAAACTTGGAGAAGTGATCACTATGTGGCCTCGGGGTACCATATAAATGCACACTTAGGTCTTCAACAAAATTTACTAAAATGTGAGCAGTTTATAGTAAATCAGAGATGACCATTATTATAAAGTATGATTTAAGATATTTGGAATTATAAAGGAATTATCAAGGAATTATAGGAATTATAAAGCTCTACATATTCATGCTTAACCAGAAGAAGGCTGCTGAGATGGTCCAGAGCTTGTCAACTTCTTCACTTCAATACCCACTATGCCCACCAGCATTCATATTCATGCAGTTAAAAAAAAATAAGCTCTGAACAGCACAAATACATTTATACACAATGAACATCTCATCTACAAATAAAATTGAGACACGAGATGAGCAAAGAATGAAAGAGGAATCAACTTTCACCCAAGAATGTTAAAGTGAAATGGGAGAAAAGTCTCATTTTGAGGTTTCAGTTTTGCAAGATCATGATAGGCTAAAAACTCTTTCAAGAGAAGAAATAGGAAATCTATAAATTAAACAGGTTGGGCCGGTGCATACTAAAGTCCTTTCTCACTTGAACATTCCATGACTCAAGTTCATCACTCTGTGACCCCTTTACTTCACAGGTGAAGCACATCAGGCCGGAGGGTTACAGGACATTCCAAGGGTCCATCTGTGGCTGGGGATAGAGCTGGAGCTGTTTATAAGCCATGATCATAATTATGTTTAAAAACACTTGGACTGGGGTGCCTGGGTGGCTCAGTCAGTTAAGAGCCTTTGGCTCGGGTCACGATCCCAGGATAGAGCCCAGTGTTCCTGCTCATTTGGGAGTCTGCTGTTCCCTCTCCCTCTCTCTCAAATAAAATCTTAAAAACACTTGGACCAAAAGAACATATGATGAGCATAAAAAGATAAAGGTCACATTTCACCTCAGGTAGGGTATTTTACTTAGTTTAGCTCATAAACAGATAAATGGGCCTTAACATTTTTTTTAAAAGGGAGTCTCGAAACTTTTTTTTTTAAGATTTTATTTATTTATTTGACAGAGAGAGATCATAAGTAGGCAGAGAGGCAGGCAGAGAGAGAGAAGGGGAGAAGCAGGCTCCCCGAGGAGCAGAGAGCCCGATGCGGGACTTGATCCCAGGACCCTGAGATCATGACCTGAGCCAAAGGCAGAGGCTTAACCCACTGAGCTACCCAGGTGCCCTAGAAACTCTTTTAAACTGTCCTTCGATACTTCAACCATATAACGGTACAATATTCTTTTTTTTTTTTTTCAGTGTTTCAAGATTCATTGTTTATGCACCAACGGCACAATATTCTGAAATATATGCAGTACTTTTCACAAACTCTCCAAACAAGCCAAAGGAAGGAACACAGTGACTTGAAAAGAGAACAAACATCTTTGTAATTTGAAGGACCCTCAAAATACAGAAAACTTTTCAAACTAATCATTGCTGCTGTCCAGGTGTCCTAGCATCAGGGTCTTAGCAAAACAAGCAAGCACCTTACCAGTTTAAGAGGTGCCAGAAACAATGAGGAAGCTTGGGGTTTATTATGACAACTCTACTCTAAAAACGAGAGATTACAAACGAGCACGGAAGTTTACAGGCGCTTCCCGTTCAGCCAATATGTTACCAGCCCTTAATCTGGGAAGACCTCCAATTTAGACAAACCTGAAAATCTGGGACATCTGGGTGGCTCAGTCAGTTAACCACCTGCCTTGGGCTCAGATCATGATCCCAGGGCCACGGGATACAGTCCCACATCCGGCTCCCTGCTCAGTGAGGAGTCCGCTTCTCCCTCTGCCGCTCCCCCTGCTTGAGCGCGCTCGTGTGCTCTCTCTCTCACATAAATAAAATATTAAAAAAAAAAAAAAAAGAAAATCTGCTGCCTTCCAGGGAAAAGATGGATTATATTAGGTAGCAGGTACAGACTGAGCTATTTCTCATTCAAGTGTTTGAACTGATGCTGACCCATCTGCATGCCAGGCCTGTACCCCTAGAACTGACACTACTGATCACTCACAAACAGGTTTAGGGGTGTCATCTACAGCTGTAATGCTGACCAAAGCTTGCTGAGCCCCACCACCCGACTCGGGTTTCACTGGTACCCCTTTCTAACAAGGGGCAGCAGGGGACATTCCTGCACAAGGCCAGAGCTGCTGTGCTCAGGGACCTCTGCTAAAATCTCCTAGGCTCTCAGTTTTCTGACTGCCTCATCTGTGGAATGGGGCATGTCCATTAAATCAAGCTAAAAATACATAAATACTTGAAAGGTCTTCGTAAGTTACAATCTTAATACTGATAACACGTTATCCAACCGAGTTGACAAAAGACTTTCTGACATAACAAACTGCCCCTGAGGTCATCCAAATTCACATATAATCTGTCACAGAAGTCTTAATATTTGAATACACAATAAGCACTTATTAATTCAAAAGACAAGTTGACCAAAGCACTATAAATTATAGACAGGTAGGTAAAATTCTTCAGTTAGAATGGCATATTACTAGAACCCCATTCTGGAAATCACACTATTTCTTTTCTTTTCTTTTCTTTTGTTAAGATTTACTTATTTGAGGCAGGAGGGGAGAGGGAATGGGAGGGAGAATCTCAAGCCGACTCTGTACTGAGGGGGGAGCCTGACTTTGGGGCTGGATCCCACCACCCTGAGATCACGCCCTAAGCAGAACCAAGAGTTGGACATTTAACCAACTGCACCACCCAGGCACCCTGCATGAGTGATTTTTTTTTTTTTCCTATTTGACAGATCACAAGTAGGCAGAGAGGCAGGCAGAGAGAGACAGGAGGAGGAGGCAGGCTCCCCGCTGAGCAGAGAGCCCGATGCGGGACTCGATCCCAGGACCCTGGGATCACAACCTGAGCCGAAGGCAGAGGCTTTAACCACTGAGCCACCCAGGCGCCCCCCCTTGAGTGATTTTTTTTTAATGCCAATTTTACACATGCCCTCACAGGCTTTCAATATAAAGGTGCTCGTTAACAATTAATTACATGCACAGTTCATTTCCCCAATAATATTTCAATGCACTTTTTACTTGTATCCTTTTCAATCTAAAATGCCAGATCAACACAGCCCCCAGCTACAGTCATATTCTTATTTACATAAAAGGAGTAGAATGGACTGGAAAAACCCTCTACATCCAAAGCTACCTACCACTACAAAGAAAAAGGAGATTGAAAATCAAAGGCAAATAGTACTTTTCCAAATACAGACAAAATGTTCTTTAAAATCCCCAAACTCCTAAGTACCAAAGGAACATAATAACCTTTTCAAACAAACATAAGAGGATGACTGTATCAACTAAAACAGAACCAAAACCCTACAATGGAATGCTTATATTAAAATGTCTTTCTGGGGCGCCTGGGTGGCTCAGTGGGTTAAGCCTCTGCCTTCAACTCAGGTCATGATCTCAAAGTCCTGGGATGGAGCCTGGCTTTGGGCTCTCTGCTCAGAGGGGAGCCCGCTTCCCCCCACCCCTCTGCCTGCCTCTCTGCCTACTTGTGATCTCTCTGTGAAATACATAAAATCTTTAAAAAAGGAGAAAAATAAAGAAAATAAAATGTCCTTCATACAATCACCCCTGGACTAATCTAAAAATTAAGTTTTGCAATGTGAAATCTGTACTATTTAACCTGGAATTGTAAGCAAAAATAGGGTATGAGAACTATTCTTAAGTATTTTCCCCTCTTGGAGACTTACAGAAATTCTTGCAACAGGAAAGCCTGCAGAATGCAATTTTTGAAATTGGGACTGTATTTCCAGTTGAGTCACAACAGTTTTAAATTATTAAACAAGTACACTTGCCCTAATTTCTTCTCTCACAGACCTCATGTTTTTTTGCAACAACATCCGACTGCTGTGCGATATAGGTAATCTTTTTAAAGATTACGTAACTTCTTTCTAAACGCTATCTATGTCCGAGACTACATCAAAAACGGTGTACCTAAAACATAAACAGAACTGCTAGATATCGACTTTTAACTGAGATTGAAAGTGTTTAATTTTCAGAGAGCTATAGCTCAGGAATGACTTTCTCAATAAATTAATCAGAATTATCAAACAGCAAATACTCCATGCTCAGCCAAAGTAAACGAGATGAGTCCTATTATAACAGTAAAGGCAAAGACAAGAACTAAGTGACTTTTTAAAGGTTAACTTTTCTCATTCTCCCAGTATTTTCCAGGTTCGACTGCTGTGTTGATGCACGGCTGGAGTCCGTGGGAGCATATTTCTCAACTATCGGGACCACAGCGAGTTCTACATCGGGGAGGAAAAAACGCTACCTGCATACCCGCTCCGAAAAACCTGCAATACCCAACTTAAGAAACCACCACGGGACAGAAAACTCAAGAAAGCAACAGCTTCCACCACCCCACCCCACTTTGCTCCTTTCTTTTGCTCTCCCATTCAGTTAACTTTGAATACAAAAAGCAGAGAAACCTGTTGGAGATATATATATATATATATATATATATTTTTTTTTTTTAAGATAAATACCATATATAAAGCAGAAATAAGTTCCTCTAAGGAAGCTGTCGACCACTCATTTACAAACACAGCCAAAGGTACACCCACATGTATTCCGATCAGGGAAGATGCAACCTGGTGATTTGCAGAGAAGATGGGATCTGAAACAAGTCCCAGAGACGGCTACTCTCCCAACACGAGGGGGGGTAAAAAAAAAAAAAAAAAAAAAAGTGGCTCTTCACCCAGGCAGCTTCAGCGATGTCGTCTCCGCAACTCCCGAGGTGCGGAAATTCAAACGCAGCCCTGCCGCTCACACGCGCAGCGTCTCCAGGAGGGGGCAGGGCTCGGCACCCGTAATCCCACCCACGGCGCGCTCTGCTTCGCGGAGGAGTCCACAAACAGCCCCAGGCTGCTCCACCCAGAGGCCGAGGAGAAAGCGAGCCGCGAAAGGGATGCGCGGGCGGGAAGAAGCCGCCCTGCGCCGGGCGGGAGCGGGAGCTGGAGCTGGAGCGCAGACCTCCCGGCGCTCCAAACCCCCGCGGCGGAGGGGCGGGGCGGGGCTCACCTGGCGTAGGGGGCGGCAGGGTGCGCGCGCCGCCGCTGCTCCTCCTGGGCTGCGGGCCACGGCGCCCTCGGGCACAGCGCCGCCTCGCAGCGTGAGTGGCCCCGGCGGCCGGCGCCCGGGTTCTTCCGCCCCCGGCTCCGGCGCGCGGGCTCCGCCGAGGGCGCCAGCAGCTGCAGGCACCGCCTCAACGCCCGCCGCCTCGCCATCCCGGAGGCGAGCTGAACCCATGGGCCGAGGCAAAGTTCGCTCCACGTGGCCTGCTCACTCTCTCATTGTGACCTTCGAATCTGGCAGTCCTGCCAGCGTCGGAACTGCCACTTCGGCCTTTACCAAGATGGCCGCCCCCGCGGACCCCAACGCTGAGGCCATCTTGGTAAAGGAGGCGCTGCGGGGCACGCGCTTAGCAGCACCGGACCCACCCCTACCCCCTCCGCTGGCCTCCGGGCCAGTGTGCGCCTCGGGTTCGCGCTGCAGAAACCTTTTCCCCACCCTACTGGTCACCGTGCCCCAAACCAGTAGCTAACTTTCAGATGAATGAACACTTTCCTACATACCAGCCCTAGGTGCTAAGACTAAGTGGGATCTTGGTGGCATCTCATAACCCGCTATAGTAGTAGACAAGCTCTTGGTAGCAGAATACTTAACACCGATGGCGCCATGAGCTTGACAGCAAAGAAACTAATTTGAAGTATGTACAAGAGATATTGCATATTAATGGCAGGCAGCACTGCCTTGTCACAGTGTGTTCATTACCTCTTAGAATGATGTCACAGTCTACTACTACAGTTCTTGGTTTTTGTTTGTTTTTACACTCTCAGGATAAAGAGCATGAAATTGTGATTCCGAGTTTCTCCCAGGATTTATGTTATGTTATGTTATTTTATTTTATTTTATTTTATTTTATTTTATTTTATTTTTTTGGTCAGAGAGAGAGAGAGAGCACAGGCAGGCAGAGTGGTAGGCAGAGGCAGAAGGAGAAGCAGGCTCCCTGCCCAGCCAAGGAGCCCGATGTGGGACTTAATCCCAGGACACTGGAATCATGCAGTCCTTGGCAGCCGCTTAACCAACTGAGCCAACCAGTCGTCCCTATTTTTTTTTTTAATTTTTTAAAGCGGTTACTTACTGAAAGAGAACACGGATTCACAAGTGGGGTGAACAGAGAGAGATGGAGAAGCAGACCCCAGCTGCATAGGGAGCCCCACAGGAGACTGGATGCCAGGACTCCGGCAACACGACCTGCGCTGAAACAGACACTTAACTGACTGAGGCACCCAGGCGCCCCTGGGATTTTCCTTTTAAACTGCACGATGATATTAGCTGTTCTAAAAAGTAATTTAAGTATAAGCCGGTTGAAATCAGGTTGAAATTGAATTCACCAGCAGATGGTTGGGCAAAAAGATTCCTTCATAAGACTCTTGTGGGACTTGAGGGTCGGAGCGGGGTTGTTGGGTGGGGGAGAGGGGGATCGAAAAACACACAGGGGCACCTGGATGGCTCAGTCGGTTAAAGCCTCTGCCTTCGGCTTGGGTCATGATCCCAGGGTCCTGGGATGGAGCCCCACATTGGGTTCTCTGTTCGGCGGGAGCCTTCTTCCCACTTTCTCTCTCGGCCTGCTTCTCTGCCTACTTGTGATCTCTGTCTGTCAAATAAATAAATAAAATGTCTTAAAAAAAAAAAAAAAAGGCCCACATGTATCAAGTAGCACAACCCAACCCAAATTCTTTAAAAAAAAAAAAAAAAAAAGAAAAAGAAAAGAAAGAAAAACACACAGGCCCCAAATGCAGGTAGGGCTGCTGGGAAGTACAAACCGTTTGGCTATCTGAAAGTGAAGGTACTTGTGTTGTACAAAGATTAGGTCAGGTGTGAACCTTCTTCCCTCGGGCTCGTGCTGATGTCACTCAATATTCTGTCCATATTCCAGTTTCTAGAATTGTCCCAAGAGCATCTTCTATAACTTCTTCCCTCTGAACTAGGATACTGTCTGGGTTCATGCACTGCATTTGCTTACTGTGCTTAAGAATCTGTTTGAAATGTCCACTTGCTAACCCTTCCCTGCACATACTTACAGATACCACGGAGAGACAAATGTCCACAGGGTGTTTTAACATGAGAGCAGGTACTTGGGATAAGCACATTTCTAAGTCAGGAAAGTCTGGGAAGAATGAATAGTCTGTTAACACAACATTGAGATTATAATTGAAGCTGTAATAACTAAGGGGTAATGTTTATGCTTGCCTAACTCCTAGAATACTACATAAACTTTATGGATTGTGTTGTAATCTCTGCTCAACACAACTTCCAAAGCTTTTACAATGGTTGATTTTTTTTTTCTAGGCAATGAAAAGAAGCTGAATAGTGTAACAATTTATATCACTCCAGGCAAAATTTCTAGGTTGCAACGCGCTTCCTGGTACAGGGCAAAGTGAACACTGCACCCTCTGCGTTTCACTCATGGTTTAATTTTAGATCCTGACTTGCTGAACTGGGTGTTATTTGTCCTTCCCTCATAAGGCACCCCTAGGAAGCCAGGCACTTAACACATAATGGTAACTATTTGTCTTCTAAATGGTTACTCTTAAAAACAAGACAACAGGCCCAAAGTGAACTCACTCAGGCTGAGCTTCCCATCACCAAACTGAGAATTCGTTGTTGCCTCTCTCAGAAATGGAGTCTTAATCAGGATCATCTGCCTGATAGACACCCCCCAGTCATTGCCTGAAGGAAAGAGACCTTGCCACACCAATCCACTTTCTGCTAGTGTAACTTTGTCCTGTCCCTTTGAAACTGCTAGAGAAATGTAAAGATGGATGGAAATTAAGATGGACAGTAATGCTGTAGCAAGGCTTGACTTCAGATGATACACATTTTTATCTTCCTTTCTTGAAGCCTCTCCTTCCCCTTCACTTTTCTGTAGAATCTGTTGTTCCAAGGAACTCCATACAGATGCCGACATCTTGCTGACCTCAACATACACTTAGCAACAAGACTCAGGGGGTCAGTGAGTCTTAAGACCACCTTGAGGGGCGCCTGGGTGGCTCAGTGGGTTAAAGCCTCTGCCTTCGGCTCAGGTCGTGATCCCAGGGTCCTGGGATCGAGCCCCACATCGGGCTTTCTGCTCGGCTGGGAGCCTGCTTCCCTTCCTCTCTCTCTGCCTGCCTTTCTGCCTACCTGTGATCTCTGTCAAATAAATAAATAAAATAAAATCTTTAAAAAAAAAAAAAAAAGACCACCTTGAAGACAAAGAAGGCAGCTGGAAGCCCATACCAGATTTCTATCAAAACTGCCAGGCCCTGTTTTTGTTTTGTTTTGTTGATTTTATTTGAAAGAGCAGGAGAGAAGGAGTCAGAGGGAGAAGGGAGACTCCCCGCTGAGAGGGGAGCCCTACTCCAGACTCTGGGATCATGACCTGAGCTGAAGGCAGATGCTTAACAAACTGAGCCACCCAGGCACCCCAATCCTGTAATTTTCTATAAAAACCCTCAGCCTTCCTCCCCCCCACCCTGCCCCGGAGGAGAGGGGGTGTCTGCTGTTTTAAAGGCATTAGCGGCGGCCTCCTTTGCCCGGCAAAGTAATGAAACAGTCGTTTCTCTTTATCCCCAAACTCCGTCTTCATGTTAAATTTTAGCCCCAGAGCAGAAAGATTGATTTTCCACACCTTCTGCCTAGAAGTCTTTCGTTTTGTACAGTTACTCAGAACTCCTTTCTATCTGCTGGATGGGATGCTGCCTGATTCATGAATCACTGAATAAAATAAGAGCTTTAAAAATGTGCTCGATTGGAGGCCTGGGTGGCTCAGTGAGTTAGGGCCTCTGCCTTTGGCTCAGGTCATGATCTCAGGGTCCTGGAATCGAGGCCCGCATCAGATCTCTGCTTGTCAGGGAGCCTGCTTCCCCCTCTCTCTGCCTGCCTCTCTGCCTATTTGTGATCTCTCTGTCAAATAAATAAAATCTTTTTAAAGGGGGGGGGGGATTAAGACTCTGTTTCTTAAGACTAATTTCCACACTATAGTTGTAAGATCATACTTTGGATTTCATTTAGCCTTTATTCCGCCCACTAGAAAAGAGACTAGCCAGATATTATAGTATTTCTGTTGTGTGAAAAGTATTATTTCTCTTACTGGTAACTGCCAGCATATTTCACTTTTTCTCAATCTAAAGCATTCAGGGTGGGACACCTGGGTGGCTTAGTCGGTTAAGCATCTGCCTTCAGCTCAGGTCGTGATCCCGGGGTCTGGGGATCAAGTCCCATATAGGGCTCTCTGTTCAGTGGGGAACCTTCTCTCCCTGCCTGCCCCTCCCCCTGCTGTGCTCTTTCTCTCTGATAAATAAAAATCTTTATAGAATAAATACATATATAAGTAAAAAAATAAAACAATACACTCAGGGTATGATCTTCAAAATGTAGAATCTAAGCCCCAGGTAAACTCATCCAAATCATGCTGATTGCTTTGACAATTTTAAAAATCAGAGTTTTTCTGAAAAAGAGCCTTTTCTGTGCATTAACACCACAAAAAGTACAGGGGAGAACTCCAGAAGCAGAGGGATGAGTCTGCCAACATTGCCATCTATTCTATCTGGAAAATTCTGTGCTTCCAAGTATAGCACTGAGATAGTATAAGCCAGCAGGCTACTTTGAATCATGAAACTTGACACATATTAAAAAATAATAATAATAAAGATAAGGAGTGCCCGGTTGGCTCAGTTGATGGAGCATGAGACTCAATCTCAGGGTTGAGTGTGAGCCCCACTTCAGGCATAGAGATTGCTTTAAAAAAAAAAAAAATGGAACTAAAGCAACCAATATGTATTTTGTAATTAAGAATTTTAGA